TCGACGATGTAAAGTGCTCCAGCTGCCGCTGTCCCTTACCTAACCGCCGCATCCATAATGAGATTCGATAGCGCGGCGGCGCTGATTGGCCGTCGCTCGATCCGCCCTCTGTTCATGCGGATCGACCATTAGCACGAGTCATTGACGCACCTTTGTCCTCGCATCATAATCGCTCCTCTCGCCTGTTCCCGTGTAGTATATGCGTTTTGGCTGAGCCTCGCTGAACCTCCTCTCGATTCGTCCGTCCGTTCGTCCGTCCGTCCGTCCGTTCACTAATCGAATTACATCAATGAGTCAAAGACCAAATCCGTCCGTCCGACCGACAGTCAGCCACCAGTCTGCAGCCACCGTCTCCTGTCCTCCTGCACGTCGTTTGACCATATGTCGTGGCTTGTGTTCCTGCTTGCGAATGTCGTTGTCTGGCTGCTAGCCGAAAATCGTCCCCCGCTGCGGATCCTGGCTGACGGACGACCGCCGATCATCGTTGACCCGAAGAATTAAGTAATTGATCGAATCGAAGTCCGCATGATTTCAGATATTTCGTTCTTTACGGCCTGTTGATGGGAAATGCAGTTCGAGTAGTTCGAGATTGAAGAAAAATTCGAGGCAATACAGAAATTTAAGCATTAGTCACTTTAAGACGAGGCCAGAGATTTCTTATCCCTCATCGTATCCCTCATTGACGTCGGGCTCTGAATCGAGAGGCTCCGCGTTCGCGTTCGATTCCCAGTTGTCTTGACGTGCCTTTCTTCTTTCAGAGCAAAATTGCCCAGTACCCCTCCATTGGAAGGAAACAGGAAACTTTCAACTTGCAGCGGTTGCCCAGTTTCCTTCTTTGTCTTCCTGTTTGATTCTTGTTCCGAGAATAGTCCAGACAGTTGCCTCACTCTTTTGCCTGTTGATCATAACCGCTCATTTCGCAGTGTGCGTCTAAAGATGGCATGTGATAAGTCATATCTTAAACCGAAATGACGGTAAGCTTGTCAGGATGCGAAAATGGCCAAAATACTTTGCTTTGCTTTGGTGAAGGCATAACAGGTTAATCGTTGATGCAGCAACAGAAAATTAGTGAATGTAACTGCTGCCACATGTACAACTGTATGTTACCAACGCAGACGCGATCGGTGTGTCTTTTGATTCCATGATTTGTCTTTTGCGGCATGAGAAACAGAAGGTTAGTTCTGTCCATATGGCATCGGTCATCATCAGGGAATGAGGGATATTTCCTTGCTTATTTTCCGTGACAACTCCAGTTCAGTAATTCCACCATATAATTCAATGTACATTTATTTCGGAACCACGAGTACTTTTAATCATATTCTTGCCAGAGCCGAAGTATATCACCGGCCAGTTCTGTTATTTCTCTCCGAGACTCTTAGAAAGTCCAAAGAACAGGGACAAATGAATGAACAACATATTTTTAAAAACATATTTTACGTCGTTCATGTAAACCTCTCCGCGAACCGCGAATTTGGAAACAAGTTCATTTAACTATTAGTCAGACAGATAACGAATCTACCTCCCGTATACGTTAAGCGTTGTCAAATTATAGATATCTTGTTTATTCTGTCTGAAGATGGTCTGTACGCATGGTGACAACGTAATATAAACCTAATATAACGTTGATTGATTTTATCCATAGTCATCTGTTGATCAGGAGCACCTGCGGAACTTGAGGTGTGCTGGCAAAGTTGAGATGCTGGTTATTAGAAGATAATCATACAATAAGGTAAAGAAGGTATGGGAAAATAATCCGCTTTCACTTTTTGAGGTTAAAATACGGATAATGATGCCATACAAGACTCGTTTTCTGCTCCTCCTCAGCGTGGTCTGTCGCGTTGAGGTAAAATGGAAAGGTAACACGAAAGAAAGGAAAGTTATGACGGGAAGAGGGACTCAGTTTCGTGTTATTGAAAACACTGGTAAAAAGAATCCGTCATCATTTTGAAAGATTACAGCTTAGTCGTATACGATCAATATTCGAAATCTCTTACATGAGCAGCACTTTGAATGTTTGTGTCATGTAACGAAACAGAGCTTGTTTGTACAGAAGGTGTGGTTACTGAGGAATCGAACTGTACATCAGCAGCAAAAAAGGCGAGATTCATCCAGGATAAACTTTTGCACACATTTTGCGAAGACGGTTTATTATTTTAGGAAGTCAGTAATGTTCAGAATAGCTGTTCAGAATAGTTCAGAATAATCATGAGAAACTCTTTTTAACCTCACAGGGGCTATGCTAATGGACGTTTGACTTGGAATATGGAATGTTGAGAAAAAGAGAACGTCACCTTCTGTTTGCTGAAGCTGCTTCATGTCGCTCAGAAGCATAGAAAACAGAAATGGAGAGTTTGTAGCCGTTGGAATGTTTGTCCTCTTTTGATTTTCATGATGGGTCTATTTATGTTGTCCTCTTTTTCATGAAGTTAGTGGCCGGGCGATAATCTTGCATCAGCTGGGAGTGGCATATTTTAACTGCAAAGTCGACAGCAGCTATGTGATAAGCATAGTATCATAGCATATCTGTTGCATCGATTCTACGGAGTGGTACTCATTTATCCCTAGGAACGAAGGAAGGCGAGTGACCCGACCGCGACTCGAACATGCTGCCTCTTGTTTCTGAGTCTGACACCCTACCTCTACTGACTGAGCAGCCTCCGTTTAGGCATCGTCTCGTAGCTGAATGCTAAACAGAGCTGGCGTTACCGAAGTCCATTGATGGTTCTTAAAAATGCGCCTGATCTTTCTGCTTGTTCCATCGCGTCCGTTCTGTTCGTCTGGTGTATTCCTGCCCGTCGACCATGGTCGTCGAAGATCAAGGTTAACAAAGGCTCTTGCTGAGTTTTTTAAGCTTGCTCTTCTCACAACTGAAAAAATCATTCGCTTGATTTCAAATGACAGAAGTTGTTCGTTTCCGTTGACGAGACAGCTTTATAAAGGCGGTTTTGAAATGACCTCTTCTCTTACTTTAGACTTTTTCTTGTGGCCTTTTTTTACACTTGCCCTCGCAGGAAAACCCTGCATTAGGAACATTATGTGCTTTTGCTAATAACGGCTTCAACGGTTATTTTGTGCCTAACTTTCTTAAGGGTTATTTCACCATGTTATAGTTGTGATGATGCTGAATTACAGGCAATCTTGAAAGCTGTGATGACTTTCCAATTGAAGCCCAAAACCCTGATTTACTCGTTAAAGTTCTAATATAAGGTTGATACTTTAAAGTATTCGAAAACTCGCAGTTAATGGTCAACATAGCTGTTTTTAGTTTCCGATATGATTACTTTCACTATAATATCTCCTGTCACTTCCCGGGGTGCACACGCCGTAGTCGTTTCCTCATCTTGCTTCTAGCAATTTGGGAGACCGTTTAAGCGACGGCGCGACTGCCCTTTATGGATCCGAAGAAATGACCCGACGTCGTTATTCTTGCCGTCGGTTTTATATCCATAATACCCGGGCAAATTGTTTTCATATATGCTAAACCATCTTATGAAGGTTTCGATTTCTGTTGTTTCGAGGGTTTATTATAACTGTCTGATTCTTCAATCTTTGCCGTTCGTCATCTCGAAACGAATGGTCAAGGATGAAAATGGTGGAGGAACTGCGTGGTAGTCTAAAGTGCCGCATGGTGAATTCTCTTTAGCTTTCGAGGTAGACATGAAGGATGGCGAACATAACGCTGATGATGAAGCCCTGTAGCGCGTTTGTTTATGACTTTTATTGAAGGACTTCTCGGTGAATGGAACTTCATCACACAATTCATAGGCTTTACTGTGTCGATATTTATGCCAGAAGAATAGGCAAAAAAATACATATCAAAAATTGGCCCAGATATTAGAAGTATTTGCTCAGGGAGAACATATAATTTGCAACACTGGCACGCTTGAAAGAAAAAAATCACATAAAAGAGTTACTACGTGAATATACTTGGGGACCAGTGTGCCCTCAATTTCTGACATTCGATCAACGCAGATTCGTCATGTGTCGCAAAACGATTCCTGCCCACAGCGCTCTCGCAGCAACATGCCCGGAGGTTAGCCACGACACTTGAATAAAGCAGCTGTCACGAGTCGCTTCACCGACTGGAGACAGACCAGTGGGAAGCCACTGTTGCCCAAGACCCCGCCCTTGGTTTCAACCTTAAAGCGAATACCAACCACTGATGACGAAGGGTTGGTTTGCTGTTGTGCAACGGAAGCTACTACCTTCCTTGTTTTTCGTTTTATATGCATATCCAACTGAACTTGTCGGCTAATGACCGAGGCCCCTTTTTTATTGGGCATGAATCGACCAATGGCCTAGGTCCGATAAAAACGATAAAAAAAATTTCAATATGATATACAAATGTCGAAAGCAGCGTTCCACTGTATTACTTTGAATATCTACCGCAAGCTACGTCCCGTTTATGCTATCGAACGCTGTACTAAGATTCATACCCAAAAACGCACTTTAAAGCCTGAAACCTGTTGCCCTTTCTCGAAGCTTACACGAATCTCTTGCCCGAGACTGAAGCTTTAATGTTGAAATTATGTTATGTAGAGTCGAAGAATCACCCATACTTCGCTGACCAATCAAGCCCTTCTATCCAGACTGAATTTGCCCTTGATAATGTCGCCAACTGCATCTGCAGTGTTGTCGTCCAACTCTTTCGTTAGCGCAGCTTTTCCTATCTGAGGTCCCTGCAGTCCAATCAAATAGGTTTAATTCTTCGTTAAAAGCATGGATAGCTTGATATGCTATTTTGCACTATATTTCGTGGTGTACCTTGTGTTTTGATGTTTTTCAAAGTGACCTGACCAAAATAAGACAATTATTACTTTCAGCGGAGAAACCAGCCACAAGTGTGTGAGCCTTGTTCTTTACGATGCCTACAGTTTTTCGTCATCCATCCTACGTTGAATTATTAGTCATATTTGTGATGCTCTGTCGTAACTGACTTTCATATTTTCAGAATTTTGATTTCACTTGTGGGCAGAATATTTTTGCCTCTACTGATAATTAATCAAATAGTTCATTAATTTGTCAATTAATTGCCCTGGTTAATGCGATTTAGCGCTTAGTCGAAACTTTGAAGTTAAAATTCTGGTCCTCCGTCATGAAAGCTTTGCGCAAAGACGGGGTCAGGTAGTTAGAGAGGACTGGGAAAGTAGAAGTAGATTCCAATCGATTGTAGATGATGGACTGTAGAAAAATGGTCCTGCGTTGTTGTCCGGCAACCAGTTAACTAGCAAGTTGAATGTTGAATTGCTTCTAAACGGTCGATCGGTCACCATTTGTGCATTTGGAGGCACTCGAATATTCGTTTGCAGGGAGGCATCATGTTTAGATGTTCAAGTTTTGCTACCATCTGTGCCTTATGTGATTTTAATGGCTCAACGTTA